AGGCGGCAGGATACGCCCCCCCGCACTCGATGCCACCGTATGGCAGCGGCGGTGGCCGTGCACACTCAGCAAAACAACAGCCCAACATTCAGCACTTTTCTAAGGAATCTCAGTTTTGATTTCGACAAGGCTGACTCACCAGAAGTCACACCGGCGCCTTTCGACCACCGAAGGTTGGGGTTCGCCGATGGTTGGTCAACCCGGTGTGGAGAAGACACAGACAGTTGGAGAAATGCGTTTTCCGCTCACGCCTTCTGGCAGGTCTCTAGATATATCCACTCCTTCCCCGCTTGTTTTAGTCTGTGGTCGGAGGCGCCAGACGTCAAATGATGTTTGGATCACATGTTTTCATTCATGAAGGATCTACGCAACTCGCGTTTAAAGGGACACCAGACACTACAAGTGCGTGACGGACACGTTTAACGAGAGGCGGCACATTTCTAAACTTGGAGCCATCTGATGTAGCCTAACGAACACGGACTCCAACAATAGAGTGATAGAATAAAAATAAATCAATAAAAACAAAACCTGGCCATGCTTAACTTAATACCCCCAACATAATAGGAAGGGTATGGGTCTGCATTAAGTAGGATACATTAGCATTTTGTTCCTCATTTGACTTGGTCCTTTTTGCAATCTTATAAAACACAATTTTATTAAAAACATTTTTAAAATCTGTCCATAATCTAACAGACACAGTCAACACATAGCCTATAAACAAAAATAGGCTACTGAACTAAACGTTATTGGCTTGAGACATTTCTATCAAAAATTACCTAACTTACAGAAAAGACCCAACTCATGCAGATTTTATCACTTCCCTTAAGAGGACAAGGTATGGCGCTATCAGAAATGATAAGCTGCTGAGTCAAGTTCCAGAGAACAGTGTCACTTTTCTCTTTGGTACAATAGTAGTTTTCTTGAGAACACAAGTGTATAAATAATTTTCAACATTTGTTAGGATTTAGCAGTGTGGCACCACCGTAATCCGTTTTCCATATGTTTACTATACAAGGATAACTGAGGACTATTTGTTAAATGTAGTCATATCTGCTTTATTTCTGTTGCTTAATTTTCCAGTTTTGCAACCATCTCCGGTTTTTGATGTCGAATAGGCAACTTAAAAAAAAAAAAAAAGATCAGAAAGTGATAAGGTAGGAGAAAAAAATGTGATCATATATCACACACCCTTATTTACAAATTAAAAACTAAACCATTAACACAAATGTATAATGATTTATCAGCATTCCCTTTATAAGAAACTAATAACTTTCCAGAAAGTACTAAATTGATTTTACATGCTTCTTTCTTTCACTCCACAAGAACTAGCCAGTATTTATATTCAGCAAGTGATTTTTTTTTTTTTTTGTACTTGGGCATCCTAATGGAGTGAAAGTAAATCTCTACCAGGTGGCTGTCAATGAAGACACATTCTGAAATTTCACTTAGACTGCGTTTTGTAATGACAAAATGACTTGTACATACAGACCAAATATAATGGTTAATGATCAGATTTAAAATTTTGCTTCCAGGATCTTAATAGCATCCTCGGAATTTTTTTTTTAATCCAAATGCATTTCAGACATCTTATCAGCACAGAATGGATAAGAGAGGGAGATGTGTCACTTGTTGTGTGGTGAAAGCTCATACATTTATCTGATAACATTAGTTAGCATTTCCGAATGAGATTAACTAAAAGGAAAAAACAGTACTATCATAAGACCTTAGTGATCTTTGGTGGGATAGTTACAAACTACCCAGCAGTATGTAAAGTACTTCACCTTATAGGCATATAAGGTAGTTAAAATTAGCTCCAACTTTACCAGCTGCAACATTAAATGTGATGTGCACAATCATTACAATCCAATAATATACATTTTGTGAACTGTGCCACTCTGCATGATGAGTAGAGTAGTTGTATGTTAATAGTTTTACTTTAGTAACATTTTGATTGTAGGACTTTTACTTGCAACAATATTTTGACGCTGTGGTATAGCTAATTTTACTTAAGTCAACAAAGAAAGTACTTCTTCCACCACTGATATCAGTATCAATAATAAGCCATTATTATAATTTACATTATTCTGAAATGGGCCATTCTGCAACATTTAAGGATATTTTGATGCAAGGTTTTAAAGACACATTATACTCCCACTCCACTACATTTCAGAGGGAAATACTGTACTTTTTACTCCACTACATTTATCTGACAGCTGCATACAGTATATTCAGAAGTTAACTTATAGATTTGAAGAAGGAATTTGGGGATTTTATGCAGAAAGTCAGTTTATAAAATACTCCAATAGCTATTCGTACATGAAACTGCCCAACATGTTCACCTCAACTCCAGTTTGCTTTCACTGCATCAGTAAGAACAATGCAGCAGTGACATAATGACACTCAGAGGCCATTCTAGCTAAGTAGTACATTCTGCTGATAATATACCAAATGCAGGGTTGTGTATTGGATGTTTCTGATACAATTCTATTGATGCTTTGACTTAAGTAAAAGATCTGAATTCTTGTTCCAGTTCGGCAGAGGACATGCAATATTCATCCACTCCTGTACACCTCTGTCCATGCCTGATGCCCAGAGCAGAGTAAAGCTGTGCTTCCTCGAATCCTCTGGACTTGTTACCCTGCAAGTTAGAGAGAAGCTCATACTGCAGATTCACTGACTGTGTGGTAACAGTCATAGCTTCCTCTTTTCTGTGACCGTTTCACCAGACAGCTGCGCCAAGCTGATATTGTATCAGCCCAGAGATCACAGTTGTGCAGAGATCACACACACACACACACACACTCTCACTCTTGCGTGGGCACACACACACAGTTACAGGCAAACCTGCAGTGGTAAAACAGCGAAACAGTCCACCCACAAAGAAACACTTTCACCTAGCTTGCTCCTGTAAGTTTTTCATTGCAGAGATGATCTGGCGGATGTCTGATGGTGGTGATGGAGGAGAGGAACAAAGACAAAGAACAAGCCCTTCCATCTATTTGCTCATCTGGGCTTCTGGCACGCCCCCTGGTCTTATGATACACAAACAACCATGTTACCACAAAGGTCAGTGATTATATGGATTGAAAGGAGATGGCAGGTAGCATCTAGCCTACCTGTGGATAGAAATCCCATGCTAAACTGATGTGTGTGTGTGCGCGCGCACACACACACACACACACCCCCCTAGTCCAGACTTTCCATTTAGGATTATCTGCCATTGAACTGCCATCTTAGACCCTCTGCTAGTGTCAAGATGATTGACACAGAGCACATCCTCTTCACCTTGGGTCGAAGACAGGCGCTCAAAGCTGCTCGACCAGTGAAAGGTAACATAAGTCTAGTAATGAGAGGCAAATGGAAGTCTCTCCAGGAATGGCTAATCTTAACAGACAGCGGCAGAAGGAAGCACAGAGTAACCTTTTGGCATAAAAGAGGGATTACCGAGACACTTCAGCAGCGGCAGAAAAAGCCATTGCACGCACAAATAAACAGCCCGAGTGCACTAAGATTATGCTGGGTGCAATTTAATCAAGAGACACTGGTGTGTGTATTACTTTAAAGAAAATAAACTAATCCTACAACAGCTATAAATTGTTCAATTATAATGACGACATGGCTCTTCACAAACCATCACTTTTCTTCTGTCATTTTTATTTTCCCATTATGCACCTGTGTATTGCCTGACTAGACCCACAGGCCTATCTTGGTCCAACACAAAGTGGCATCTGTTAATCCAAAATGTAGCAGCCTGGCAGGCACAGACAGGCCCAGATGTCTAAAAAGTACTTTACAGACTTCAAGTCTTCTGTAGCTACGATCTCTTAACATACACAAATGTAACTGCATTTCCACCCTCTGCTATCGCCAGAATTCAGAACGCAGTGATATTTAGCATCCAAGCCTAGAGCGCCCAGTGGTCAAAGTAACATTTACTCAAGTACTGTGTCTACAAACAGCTTAGAAGTACCTGTATTTTACCAGAATATCCATTTTATAATGCTACTCTATGTTTAGTTTGTCAGATAATTTTAGATAAAAACAAATGATTAGCTTAGAAAATACAATTGATGCATGAGCAGACTAAACCAGTCATTTTTACTCTAAAGTAAGTTGTGTCAGGCCGGGGCTCATCGCAAACCTTTCTGATACTTATGAGATGTTAACAGTTACCACTGGACTGAACCTCCTAGTACAGTTAAAACTACCTCCACCTCTATCCGCTACAACACAAATCATCACATAATATATCAATATACAATGTCCTATATATTATCACTCACACTAGCATTTGAGAATGAATACTGTGCTTTTGACATTAGCCAACACCATGTCCTTGAATAAAATACTGAATCCAAAACTGTTAAGTTTAAGGGAGTGTGCCATTTGCACAATGCACTATTAGTAAAGATATGAGCGCTGCCTCCGCCACCCCTATGTTTCTGAACCTGACAAGTAATCATCTGTATGTGTACTTTATTTTCAATTTTCCTATTGCACATTCCCTTTTCTTGTTTGCACATTCATTTTGTTTTCTTGCCTCAGTTGTGTCTGCTCTTTGCCTTATGGAACAACATTGTTCATACACACTGAGCCACTGTACCGGAGTCCTCGTGTGTTCAACACACCTGGCCAATAAAGCTGATTCTGAACACCTCAAGGAGAGGAGAGAGTGGTCATACATTGCTTTCTGTCAGCAGGACATAGTCACAACGCACCTCGAGACAAGTGAGGAAAATCCTCTCATTAAAAAAACAAAAACAAAAGACATGCAAGTCTGATCTGACTTGGAGAACACAGGTTAAGACTGTGGGAGAGATCTAGATGACACATGTAACCATAGTCAACACCATTTACCATGAGGTGAGGTGTAGTTACATTTGATACCTGATTTTAAGTCATTTTTAACTGGCAACTATGTGAAGAGTTTGATCTGATCTTTAGAGGCATGCAAACAGGTCACACTGATTGTAGGGCGCCACCTGTGGTCTAGGGCACATCTTTATTACATCCTGACAGAACTGTCTGGTCAGCACTAAGGAAGCCTCAAAGTAGGAGTTATCCAAAAAGAAACAAATGTAAAAGGTGGGAAACCAATAAAATTTAGGCCAATGCCTGATTTTTGTCCAAACCAGTCCAGTGCTGGACAAATTAGATTAGGAACAACGGGATTTGATTCTGCTTCTTTAATATTCACTGATGACTGGCACACCCATTCAGCAATCACTATGCCCAACAATACATAACATGCAACATTATGGTGTTAAAAATATAAAGAATAATACAAAAAGCACAATTTGGACAGACTGATGTCTACTTTTATATCATTTGTATAATAAATATAGTGTTTCATTATGCTTTTTTCTAGCACTTTCAGGTAACAACATCACATGCCCTTATGAGAGCAAATGTAAAAAATGCCTTCATGGTGTAAAACATCTGAAGGTTCAAGATAACAGTTCAAGATCGTCAACATCTTTGAGAGCAACAAAAATGAACAGGAAGTGACCAGAGGGAGCTGAAGAAACTGATGAGTATTAAAGCTCGGAAAGACCCTTATGTGAGGGAAAACGTTCCGGGCTAAAGGCAAAATGTTCTCAACCTCAGAGCAGTGTTGCTCTGTGACAATCACAACAACCAAAAATAAAGTCATTAAAAGGTGTTTGGTTCAGTCAATAACAGTACAATACTGCAAAAACAAAAATGATAAGCAAACAAAAAGTAGGACATGATTTTTAAAGAATGACATTAAAGACGTACATTAACGGTTTGATGGTGTCCCAGCAGCCATCTGCTGTGTAGCAGGATCACATGATGACCCAATGGGTCTCCACTGTTAAAGAGCACGCACGCGCACACACACACACACACACGCTCCTTATTGTGGATCCTGATTTGTACAACAGTAATCCTGCATCACAAGACAAGGCTGTGATTCACCCAGAATGCACCTGTATTCCTGTGTCAAGTGGTGGTCACATCACTAGGTCCCAGTGTCTGCATGTCACTCAAGTATAAATAAATAATTTGTGCAAGCCAAATGAGTCCTAGCCAAATAAGTAATTTGGCTATGACTTCAAACCAATCCTGAGTTCTTATTATTTTACTTCTATGGTAGATCAGTTTAAGATGTGGCCAAATGTACACACTGGTACACTTAAACCTCTAACATGTTTGTTTGTGTGCGTGTGCCTGCCTCTGTGTGTACTCAGTTCTTCTTCTTCATCCCAGGGCTGTGAGTGCTGAACAGGCTAAGCCCTGACGTGCTGTTTCCATTAGCCACTCCGCTGACTGCGACTCCGGGCTGCTGGAGCACCTTGTCCAACGTGGTTTTCTTAATGGCTGCTGGAGAAATGCGCTCCTGGTCTGCCAGGAACTGGAGCTCCCTGGTAGGGGAAGGGAAGCTCAGTGTCAAGTGTACGGTATAAACGTAGGTAGTGTGTCTAATATTATCTTTACTTTTACCAGTGAAAAGCAGCAACCTTTAAATACTAAGCTGTGAAATCAGAGTGGGATCACTTGACACAGAAACACAGTCAAGGAAGAACTGGATGCCTGACACCTTTATAATTCTTTGGTATCAACTTTAAATAAAACAAACATAGCAACATTCTGATATAATTTAAATCTATGCAAACAATCCACAACACCCTAACAACTGAAACCTAAAGCTTTTGGGACCCAAGAACGGTAGTATGTCATGGTGATGGCACCACAGACATGAATGCGACCTGAGTTTCCAGGTAGGACAGTCTCACCTTGTCCTGATGCACGAAGCCTCCACTGCGTTGATCAGGAGGCTGCGAAAACCACCACTCTCCAGGAAATGCAGGGCATGGATGGTGGCGCCCCCTGGTGAACACACGTTGTCTTTCAGCTGGCCGGGGTGCTGCTCCGACTCCAGCAGCATCTTAGCTGCTCCCTGAAGAGGAACAGAAACACGAGATAGAACTTCAGAGCTGGCAGGAGATCAGGCTCGGTATGAAGAACAACTTACTGTTTACTCCTAAACTGTCATGGAGTGCTGATGCAGCATCCATCCTCAGCAGCAGTAACTCCTTTCCTCATTAATGTGAGTGGATGTAGATGTAATGTAGAATCAATCAGAAATAATGATAATTTCCTCCAGGAAATTCAATCTAACCTAATGTAAAGACTGTTCAGGTAGCAAGTTGGCTTATAAACCGTAATTGTTTCTACAGTGCCTTTGGTGTTCCACACAAACAGATGTGGGAATGAGAGGAGACATTCAGACAGAGTAATGTCTATCTAACAACATCTGAAAATGCCTTTGCAGAAGAAAAAGCAAAACACAGAACAGTGCTTTTAAAAGGAGCTCAGCGCACAGAGCACTGGGCAAGGACGAGGCCTGAAGCAGCTGCCATGATTAAAAAAAAAAAAAAAAAAAAGAGAAAATTGGAGAGAATCATTACCGGTAATCCATTTTGACAAAGTGTGATCACATCAGTGTCTGCATTAACGCAATTAAGCAATGTTTAAGACCATTACTCAGCAAACAGAAAAGTCTGCTCTTAGCTTTTTCAAACTGTAATTACCTACATAATCCCTGCAGAAGAGGCACACAAGGACACACTAAACACAACTGACCAATAGGGCCTGAGCTCCAAGTCTGACAGCCAGTCTCCTGGGTAGACCCATCTTCACGCCTCCATCTGCAAGAGCATCCAGGGCTGTGAATGCCTGTTTAAACACACACAAACACAGACACACAGTCAGCAGTCGTTCCTTTAGGGCCACAGTGCCATCACATCTTTAACATATGAAAAGCTGGTCTATAAAATTCTTAGTCTGATTTACCACAGTGTGTTTCGACATTACCTCACTGCTTCTACACACCCCCTCTACACTTAGGACAGCATAGCACTCAACCTTTACACATTTTTTTTTTCCTGCTTACACAGTTGACATGACCATTCTATAAAGCAGGAAGGACAGAGATCTGGAGATACAAACACAGCAATGCAGGTCTTGTACATTTTCTAAAGGAAACATTCATTAGAGAAGGCGATGCACTCATTTAACCTCGTATCCCCGCCACTGTTTTTCAGATGTCTCCAGCCTGAAAACAGGCAAAAGCCACTAAATGACAGTGAGCATGCAGAGGCAGCTTAGACTTGACTATTGTATATACAACACTTGTATATATGGCTTAATCAAGTCAAATCAACACACAAAAAACTATTTTTGAAATTTATCAAGTAAAAATATAGCCATGAAGCCCTAAAGCTCAAGAGACAGACAATTCATGGTAACCTGCCCCCAAAATCAGATCATTGCTACCAGTGATGTCAATTATTTAGTGAATCAATGACAATGCAGAAGCTGAGGACATGCAGTGCAACTGTCAGAAAACATACTGCAGTTTGCTGTAGTACCTGGTTGCCACTAAATGGTGCCTCTTGGTGTTAAGATGAAGTTGTGCGTGTTTGTTGATTGCCTGTAAGGGTCAAACAACTTATAACACAAATGCACCTCCTTGTTGCCCAAGGAAGAAATAAGTGGCAGTGCGGCGCTCTGATCTCACTGCAGCTGGGGTAGCTCGCCAGCTGGTCAGGACCAGAGTGTCTTATAGCAATGTAGTTGCGTTGCTAAGGCTCAGGACAACCAGGACTCTAAACTGTATAAGCAACACCCCCTCTACACTTAGGACAGATGCATTTTAACGGTGGAAGTAAATGTTGAATATTTGTACATCCCTGGGGCATCTGTCCCAGTAGAGCAGGTGTTTCCTGCAGCTGGACTGACACTGGCTACAATATAAAACACAGCAGGAACTCCCAGCATCATATACAAGTTATGCATCTTGTGACAAAACTGGAGACTGGTGTAACCCATTCCATGTTTATTCTAAAGCGCTACATTATTTATTTCTTCCTTGGGCGCTACGTTATGTAAGGCTGAAAGCTACGGCCCTTTTGATAAAGAAAAAGAGCTTTACATATCCAACACATTTACTCAGATCTACTATAAGTGAAGCCTGGAAACTGTGCAGACAGCATTGTTTACCTTTATGAACTTTGTCTGACCAGTCTGGTGGAAGCTCCACAATTTTAAACAAAAGGTATTATTTTGTAGTGTTTCATTAATAATTCAAGTAACTTGTGTTTACATTCCTAATTTAACACATGAGAGGGACTTAACTGAAATAAATGCTTTGACTCATCACTCCTAGCATTTTTCCCACAACAGGTCTCATGGTAGCAATAGAACCAGTTGGCACCGACTCTGGGTGAATCCTTCACACACTGTACTCTCTTTTCTGACAAACAGAGCTACAGTGGTGTGAAAAAGTGTTTGCCCCCTTACTGATTTCTTATCTTTTTGCATGTTTGTCACACTGTAATGTTTCAGATCGTCAAACAAATTTATATATTAGTCAAAGATAACACAAGTAAACACATCATGCAGTTTTTAAATGAAGGTTTTTATTATTAAGGGAAAACAAAATCCAAAACTATAGAGCCCTGTGTGAACAAGTGTTTGCCCCCCTGTCAAAACACTGGTTTATCGCACCTGAGTTCAATTTCTCTTGCCACACCTGTTCGCAATCAAGAAATCACTTAAATAGGACCTGCCTGACAAAGTGAAGTAGACCAAAAGATCCTCAAAAGCTAGACATCATGCCGAGATCCAAAGAAATTCAAAAACAAATGAGAAAGAGAATAATGGAGCTCTATCAGTCCGGAAAAGGTTATAAAGCCATTTCTAAAGCTTGGGGACTGCAGCGAACCACAGTGAGAGCCATTATCCACAAATGGCGAAAACATGGAACAGTGGAGAACCTTCCCAGGAGTGGCCAGCCGACCAAAATTACCCCAAGAGCGCAGCGACAACTCATCCAAGAGGTCACAAAAGACCCCACAACAACATCCAAAGAACTGCAGGCCTCACTTGCCTCAGTTAAGGTGAGTGTTCATGACTCCACCATAAGAAAGAGACTGGGCAAAAATGGTTTGCATGGCAGAGTTCCAAGACGAAAACCACTGCTGAGCAAAAAGAACATAAAGGCTCGTCTCAGTTTTGCCAGAAAACATCTTGATGATCCCCAAGACTTTTGGGATAATACTCTGTGGACAGACGAGACAAAAGTTGAACTTTTTGGAAGGTGTGTGTCCCATTATGTGTGGTGTAAAAGTAACACCGCATTTCAGAAAAAGAACATCATACCAACAGTAAAATATGGTGGTGGTAGTGTGATGGTCTGGGGCTGTTTTGCTGCTTCAGGCCCTGGAAGACTTGCTGTGATAAATGGAACCCTGAATTCTGCTGTGTACCAAAATATCCTGAAGGAGAATGTCCGGCCATCCGTTTGTGACCTCAAGCTGAAGCGAACTTGGGTTCTGCAGCAGGACAATGATGCAAAGCACACCAGCAAGTCCACTTCTGAATGGCTGAAGAAAAACAAAATGAAGACTGGAGTGGCCTAGTCAACGTCATGACCTGAATCCAATTGAGATGCTGTGGCATGACCTTAAAAAGGCAGTTCATGCCCGAAAACGCTCCAATGTGGCTGACTTACAACCATTCTGCCAAGATGAGTGGGCCAAAATTCCTCCACAGCGCTGTAAAAGACTCATGGCAAGTTATCGAAAATGCTTGATTGCAGTTGTTGCTGCTAAGGGTGGCCCAACCAGTTATTAGGTTTAGGGGGCAAACACTTTTTCACACAGGGCTATATAGTTTTGGATTTTGTTTTCCCTTAATAATAAAAACCTTCATTTAAAAACTGCATGATGTGTTTACTTGTGTTATCTTTGACTAATATATAACTTTGTTTGACGATCTGAAACATTACAGTGTGACAAACATGCAAAAAGATAAGAAATCAGTAAGGGGGCAAACACTTTTTCACACCACTGTATCAGTCACTCACATAGGCTGGTCCACTGCCACTCAGCCCAGTGACGGCATCAATGAGGTCCTCCTCCACCTCGGTGCAGAAACCTACACTGGCCATCAGCTGCTCCAGTAACTTGCCATCCTCCACCTGAACAAGTGACAACAACATGCTGGTAAACAAAGTAAAAAAAAAAGTGGACCCAGCTCAAACGTCCTGTTTACCGTTATCTCATTCAAAAATAAAGACTGTCCTCCGCCTGCTCCTCCTCACCTCTGCATGTGTCCCAGTAGCATACACTGTAGCACCCTCTTTCACCACCACAGGAGTATTAGTCATACACCTCATGACTTTAGGAGCTGTACGGTACTGAAGGAGCTTCTGTTAAAAATTGAGAAAAAAGAAAAATCATAAGATACGATGACAAAGAAAAAGTAAGGAAAGACTAACAGCTGGTTTTGACAACAACAACACTGAATCACAAGAGGGCTAAAGCAATACAAGGAACCATGGTCTGCAGGGCAGGAAAAAAGCCAATGAGGGAGGCCGACCTTCTCTATGGAACTGATGGTGACGCCTGCAGCACAGGAGACTATGAGATGGCGGTCCTCTATGTCTGGCCCAATCTCATCCAGAACGAAGGGGATGATGTGTGGTTTCACAGCAAGGAACAGTACATCGCTCTTACTGACAGTCTCTTTGTTGCTAGTTGTCAGGTGCACCCCCATTCTCTGAAGAATGGCCAAATGTGATAAGGAACAGGGAAGAAGCCAAACATGCACACAGTATAAACTCCTGGATAAACTCAGGGTCGCAGTTATGCTCACACCACGTACATGAGTCACAACACGTAGATGAGTTACTAAATCTTGAGTTCGAGTCAAGTCACCAAAGAATAGTCTGAGTAGAGTCCCCGTTACCTGAGTCAGTGTCATCAAGGTCTACATTAAACACAATTGACACAGCTCTCACAGTTTCAGCGGCAAACAGGTTTTAACATCAATATCTTACGCCACATTATTATGTCTATTACAAAAAGCAAGCCTCCAATCCAGTGTAAAAACATGCCAAATTTAGTCATGCAAATCGGATTCGCTGTGGCGACCCCTAATGGGAACAGCTGAAAGTAGAGTAGTAGTAGTAGTAGTACAAAAAAAAGTCTAAGTCTCCAACTTCTGAGACTGAATGTAGTCATTGCTTGAGTCCGAGTCATCAATGCTCAAGTCCAATCTGAGTCATGCGTCAGACAACACTGGCTCACACCAATGCTTCCACTGCTTCCCATTGTCAGACATTACACAACCATGCAAGAACTGGCCTTCTCACCCTCAGTCCTGCCACTGTGGGCAGGTCTGTATCTGGGGAGCTGGCTGTAATCCTGTGTGTAGCAATCACACCTGTGGAGGTTGACAGGAGGAAGTGATGAGTTAGGCAAGACTGTATTCACCGGGCCCAACAGTGCAATATTGAGAAAAGTGTGTAGATGCGACTGTTTCAATTCTTGCAGGCCCAAATTCAATTGATGTGGGTTTAAGGTTTGAAATCAGTGATTTTAGAATCAGTATATGGCAAAAAGTGGCCTCACCTGCAGCTGTAAACCCTTTCACCAGTGCATGAGCCAGCTGGCCTGCTCCAATGAATCCAACACTCATGTTGTCTAATGATGTGGTTTCTCTGCTCTGTAAAAACAGTGGGGAGGCTGTTGCATTTCAGTGGACCAAACCTATGAACCAACACCCTAATACACATCATGCCATACACATTTTGCTTTCAAGTTAATGATAGAGCGAGTTTTAGTTTATTCAAAAGCAAAGAGACAGGCCCTGGAGATGATGTAATCTATAGAAAAAATCCTGGAACAGGTCACCAGAGAGTGAATGATGATGAAACATCTCCTCTGACATTGTGGCAACACCATGCGGGTTGTTTTACTGGGATATGGGCACATTAACAGCCGTCAGCTTTAAATTCAGATAAACCTCATTTGCATGCAAGTTAACATATCAAACAAAAATGGTTGTCTCTGTTTCGCTGTAAAAGGACCAACTACATAAACTAGCACCTGAAAAAAATAGGCTAATAATGCCGTGATTTCCAGCATAGTGAGTCAACTGAGTTTGGGCCTCTGCGAAACGTTACTATTTAAATCATGTTCCAGTGTCAGGATCATTTAACGCTGTCTCGTGTTTGCTAACTAACTAGTCGTTGTTGTTTTAGCATCATACTCAGATGATGCTGAGCAGGATGATAGCATTTCATAGCTAATCTATGACCGCCTGTCCTTGATGTGCTAGCTAGGTTTCACAAGCAAAAATGAATGAGAATGACAAATTCACTTAACATGAAGACAGTTACCTTTCCCTAGATGTTCCAGCTGAAAGTCCTAAGCTAGAGGGTGACCAATATTTCCCGGCGTTAGAAAAAGAAATTGTCAACGTGGCTTCCTTTTTCACTCAGCTCCCAAACTGGTCCAAACTGTAAGAAACAGCGACATTGGCCAATCACGACAGAGATAACAAGAGCGTTTGACCAATGAGAAACTAGATCACAGTATTTGGGTGGAGCTTGGCGGTCCACGCGCCCTGTTGCATCAGATTATTCTGAGTGGTGATAAATGTAGGTCAAATATTATACTGTATGACCTGTGGCATATAAAGGAGGTTAGGTTTATACTGGGCAAAGACAGTGCCGACAGCATCTGTTTGGTGCTTGTCTGTCTGATTTAACAGAAAGACGGGCCATTAATTGTGCAGAAAACGCGTATACACACACCTTATACTTTATATACTTCTACTTTTGATAAAGTACACTATCTTTTGTACTGTAAAAGAATACTTTTGGAAAAATGTAAATGCAAAACTTTCACTTATAAAAAATATTCTTACTGTGTGCCATGACTATTTTTACTTAAGTAAACAATCTGTGAAATTCTTCTAGCGCTGCAATGTGCAGGGAATTATACAATGAAAATACACCTTAACAGACATATCATGTAGAATTTCTATGCAAGACTCCATATGAATTAACCTCTGTGTTATCCCACAGTGTTGATGCAAAAAAAAAGCGGAATAAGAAGATATGTTACAGCACTTATCCATTAATATAGGCTACTGGGGTGCTTATGATTTACCATGCAGCTGCTCATATTCACATAAATTCAGATTCTATGCTACACAACAGAGATCTTAGTTTGTGTGTGTGATTTTGCACAGAAAATATAACATTTACATTACATCACATTTTCATATGCTACCAATAGTAATCTTCCATCTGCTGATCTGGGTTGTTCACCATTGATCATTTTGAATACAAATGCACTGAGATTTGAACAAGAATCCTCAAAACATTTCAAGGGACCAGAGGTGGCTTGTGCTATTTGAAGGACTTGAATTTGAATGAAGGATTGTTATTCTAATAGGAGACTGGGGACCAGTACGTTTTCTTCTCCCCTTAGATTTGACAGAATCTGAAACAAAGCAGAATCCAATGGCGAGTACACTAATGAGCCATGGTATTTGCCAACAGTTTGGCTTCCTATCCCCTGGTACTTCACCAGTGCATATTTTTAAAATTAGGCCTGTAACTGTCAGTTTGATGCTGCAGTCTCCCCTCTGCAAGTTTTAATAAGACTGACCCTCCTCTTGTCTGTCTGCCTGTTCTCATGCCATACCATGCCATGATAGATTAAACTTGCACTTCACAATACTACATGTATCCTTTGAGGGACCACACTCCATTTATTTTCTCACAGTGCTACTGGACAGGAATGCAGACTGAGGGATTGTATATGCTTCTGTCTATATTTAAAGCAGAAGGCACCAGGTGTTAGGATACTCTTCCTCTTAAGTCAGCTGGCCATAGTGATATACAAATGAGTGACAGATTAAAGGAAAAACCAACATAAAGTGTCTTAGTAAGGTGCTGGACCACTGCATGCCACCAGAACAGCTTCAGTGCTCCTTGGTATTGATGCTATAACTCTAAATATTAGCATGATTAGTCAAAATCATTTAAATGTTCAATTAGTAAGTTCAGTCAGCTTACATTAATCCTTGCATGCTGTGCAGAGGCCTACACATGGCCAGGATATAACTGAGATGGATGACTATAAAATCATTTGATTCTGTTGTATTTTAAAGAGGAATGCAACCAATTTTACATATTCAGTTTACTCATCACAAGGAGCATTACACAGCTTTCTAAATTCTGAACAAAAATAACCCTAATGAATAATGTCATGAGAATTATCTCAGCTTGGGCCTGAGATTGTTTTTACAAAGAAAAAAATAGATGTTCTGGAGTTGGGAGATGTGGAGGTCTATTAAAAGCTATCCAGTTGCATTATGGGACTGACTGGCTGACTGTCTTTTCTGTGTTCTCTCTTAAATTAAAACACAACACTTAGTGAAATAGGGAGTAGCATCATGACTTTTTCCTCCCTGATGTTACAACATGCACACGGGGTAGTGTATGAAGGCATATGGCACAGTGTCAGCTTCCCTTTGCTGCATCACTTTGTGCATTATAGCAATAACAGCCTAATGATAATAATTACCACCAAATATATTCCAGAACCTGATCTTAAACAAACTGAATTTTTCAGTGGTGTATCCATGCAACTCTGTCTCTCAGACACATACACAGAAAGTCAATTTACCACTGCCTGCCTCTGTTCTATCACTCAGACTCGGCATGTGTACTGAGGCGTGACAACACTCATTCACTCTCTCTCTCTCTCTCGTTTTTTAACAAATGCCAAGAGGTTTATTAAAAATACTAGAGTGCAGAAGTCTGTTTTCTGCCTTATTTCTCAGCACACAGCAACAAGAGGATCTAGGTGAAGCACTCACAACAATTTGTTGCTTTGAGTGACTCTGGCCCAGAGGTGTCCGTTTATGTGTGTTGATGTGTAAGAAAGAGAGAGTGATGGCAAAACTGTGTGTGAGAGAGAGAGCGAGAGAGGAGTAGCTTTGTTGAGCAATGTGCATATTTAATACCAAAAACAAAAAATCTTTCCCAAGTGTTCATACATGTCTCTCCTGCAGTCTGAGACAAGAATGAGTGACAAAAACACAATACAAAGAAAGTGTCAGCAGGGAAGCTAAAGCATCCAGTGTAATGTCAGCTTTCAATTTTATGTCAAACCCAAAACTAATAAAGGATTTCCCACAGCACATAACAAAATTTCATGGACAAATCAACCTGAAAATCTCAAAAGAACCACAGGTAGGAGAGACGCTGTGCAATATGTCATACCTCTTCTGTATTTTTATCCTCGCCTCAGCAGGTACTTATAAATGAAATTAACCAAATGAATCAAAGGACACAATCTTTCTTTGTTCATCAAGGTGGCCAAGAGGTCAAAGAAGGCAAAACTGTGGCTGTGCAAGGCCACAGGAGAATATTGATGGTTCATGTTGACTGAGTAGAAAGGCTGTCAGGCTGGTCACACTGGAAGGAGGCGGTGTGTGTCCACTGGACCACAACAAATAAGATCATAAAATTTGTCTTACATTTTTGTTTGACAAATCTATTTATCGGTTTTGGTTTTCCCAAAACATAACAATGTTGAATGCTGAATTGAATAAATGAATGTGGCTTAAAGTCTTAAAACTTGTTTGACAAATATGTACAGTGTACCCTCCTATTTCTATTATTATAAATCCAACAACCTACGAGACAGCCACCCAACACACACTGAACTGAAGTGTTACATAGAAATAAGACTCCCTTCTGCCCAGCTCCCAGAAACCACCAGCAGCAACAATCACAGTCTCCAAAGTATTTATTTCATTACATTTGTTTTAAGAGGACAATTTAGTTTTAGGGTAAATGGAAGTAAAATTAATTAACCTAAAATGACTCACTCAAACAAAAGCTGAAAGAAAAAACAGTCTGTCTAGCTGGGTGTGGGGAGAGTCCAGGCTTTAACCTGTGACTGTCAGACCGGCACCAGTGAGCTCACTGGAACAACTTGTATTCACATAATGATGTCAGAGTCACTCAGCCAGAGAGGCTCACCTGCAGGGTGGCCAAAGAGAGGGAAGGAGAGATCCACAAGCCCATTCAGGGGGGTTAAGCACATAATACACAACATACACAATTTCAGGGTTGTAATATAGGTTAATGTACAAATATATGTTACAGGAATCAAATACATTAGATTTGCAGTAATGTAAAATTTCTTGAACCATATTATTAGCTGTTCCCGTTAAGCTGTCCCTGGTAGGCTATCCCTTTGTTTTGTCCACCCCTGAAATTGTCATATTTTCAACCCCAGGTCAATGTGTGGTGCTTCCATATTTTTTTCCATACAGTAGCTTAGAGAATGTCAAACTAGGAGCATTGACAAGGATTCACATCCACTGGGACCAAAGATTTAGACTGTCTCACAC